CTCCATTAGACTACAGAGGACAGGGTGACTGGGTCTGCTAAAGATGTTTGTCTAAACTGAGGGAAAAGAACTCTTCTCTATCAGGGTTAAACCAGTGTTGCTATTTCAAAGTACTTTGAGGGAACGATCTTTAACTAGAGATGTGGTGCACACAGTCCACTGCTGCACTCTGGTTATGGTCAGGTAAGTGGGGTTCCAGAACAGGAACTGTATGTTAAATTAATACTACATTACAAGCAATAAAATCATGCATTATAGGAACTGAGATTAAGATGTAGAATGGCAACCAACATGTACAAACCAGTGCCATTGTTACAGTACAAGATCCAAAGTTTGCTATCATCCTGAAAAGACCTCCAAATACTTCATTGTATCTGGCTCAGATACATACCCTGTTTTGCACGTTTAACAAAGCCTCAGGAAAAATACCATAAGACTTCTGTTAATTGCTGGGAGCACCCCACTGTGCTAGAAAAAGCTCCTGGAAATTAATTGTCCCTGAAAACAATTACCTTACACCATGTATAAAAAAGAATGTGTTTAGCAGTGGGATGAACACTGATGCTGCACAGTACTACCGCTGCAGTTGCTCCTGTGTTAGTGGCACCATACTTATTCTTGCCACTGTTATCACCTTCATAGATAAATAAACAGGTAAAAAGTGATTTTAGCAAAGTAACAATAACTGTCCATTTTAGGGGATTTGTTTGTCAAATTCAAGCGTTCGTAGGCATTTATTCTGGAATGTCGCTTCTACTTCCAAGTATTGTTTGCCTTGTCAGAATTAAAGAAATAGCTAGTAAAAATAAGGACTGATCTTCAGAGAACAGAATTACAATTGCTATGTTAAAGCTAAGCAATTAACAACAAAGGTGAAAGAACAGAGGGAAAAGGAAATGTCCCTTGTTAAATACTTATGGATGTTTGATGAAAACTGACTTATAAATGACAATATAATACAAGTGTTCCTTAGATAAGGTCAGCATTCAGCATAGAGTTAAGTCTCTCATACAGACTTAAATTTCTTGGCACAGAAACTTTGATTATATAAATTTCATACAGGAAATGCAAAGTGCCATAATGCAGGACTTTGATCAATGATGCTATCCTGATTTATAATTGTTGCTTTTTTTTAACTGTGATGCCCACAAAGCACTAATTTAAAAGCTCATTTTAGTTGCAACCTCCTTCTTCCTTTTAATGACAAGAAAGTCATCTGATTACATTTTTTCAGTCATCCTTGTGTCACGTACTAGATAATCTCCTTATAGTTTAAAACTAAAAATGCTAATGGATTGGGGAAATGGGTTTCTGCTTTCACTCAACATATCTGTCTTTTTTTATGCTTGTCTTTTGAATCATTTATCTAAATAATAACCTTTAGTACCCACTTCTTCCTTCCAATGAACTAAAAGATATTAATGATTAAAGTCGGTTAATACACATCTTCTCCCTAGTTTTGCCAACTGAGGTTACCACTTTCAGGTGATTTTGGGGGGCGGGGAGTGAGGGAGCTACAGACATCCCCTTGCAGAGCTACTTATATGGTTACTTCCTTATTGTCTCAATCAAAATAGCCTAAGTTTATCTTAAACTAACTTTCTTTTAATGTATCACCAGTTGTACTGACTGAAAGGTCATCAATCTTGGTGACTAAAACAAAGGAATTGCAAGAAAAACTCAGCAAGCAGCTTTCAGTCAGCAAATCTGCTGGGGCAGGTCCAGAAAAGAGGCAGTAATAAGACCCCTCATGGGAAGGTGCTGAGAGAGGTAACTTCTTTAGCAGGCAAAGCTGGAGATACAGCAGGATATGTTTGCATGGCCTTAGTCTCAGAATGATGGAAGATAATTCATTTTGTGAAAAAGCAGCATGGAGAAGATAAATGATCAGGCCAAGGTTAGGTACAAAGATTGTGGAAATTGTGGGAGGAAGTGCGAGGCAGATTTTTCTAGGGTATTTGTGCAATTCAGGTTTCATCATGCCTAGTTTAAGCTGTACAAGGACTGAGCTTTGAGAAATTGCTTACCACATGACCTTGGGGAGGGGGGGAGAAGATCTTGAGCAACAACAATGTATCTTTAAAACACTATGGAGATCACTTTCCTCACCTTCTGAAACAGATAGAACTGAAGGACAATTGAAGACGCAAGAACCTCGTACTGCCTCGAAACTCTGAAACCATTTTCTAGAGGAAAATTATCCTTCCACAGACAATCCCTCCTAGCAGACCAAATCTCAATTCTGCTGATCCCCATGACAGTATGGCAAGGTGGACACAATAACTCAGGTAGATGGATGCCATGCTAGAGACCCACATCAGAGTCTTCAAGTAATATCTGCACCATTCTGAGGCTCTTGCTGCTTAGAACAAATTAACTCTGGCACAAAGCTTTCAGCCTGCAGTCAAAAAAGGCTTTGTATGCAAAGCAATATTCTTATATGAATCAGGCTATTTTCTCCATTGGTAAGAATAAAAAGCATGACCCTGTGAGCTCAGCCTAAAAGTCTTTCTGGTGCTGCTTTGATATTTCCTGTCGTGATAAATAGCACAATATTCTCAATAGCTGCAACTTACAAGAAAGCCAGAATCTACCTATGCGCATTATGTAGTCACTAAATCCCATTTTCATGGCATGCGGGAGGTGACCAGGAGACAATAAGAGACAGACAGCTAAAGGAATTGTATTCTACTGAGGGGGCTAGAAATTCATGAATAGGAAAGGAAATCTGTTAACAAAGATTACCTTAGCAGGAAACAAAAATGTACTGAAGCAACAATTCTATATGAACTTTCATTTCCAGTGACTCATGCCAGTATGTTCAATTTCATTCTAAATGTGAAACCTGCCCTTGTGGCTTGTTTTCTGCTGAGGGATCACTGTCAAAACAAAGAACAATTACAAAATGTTCCCTCAGTTCAGAATTCCTATTTGGCAAGTGATGCCAATATGACGCAGAGATCTAATCATGAGATTTGTAATATGAAAATTTAATTTCTCCCCATTTGGGGTATTTAGACAACACAGGAAAGCTGGAAAAGTAGTTGACAAGAGTTTCTAATTATTCACATTTTAGGTTTTAAGAAAACCCTATTTATCAGGTAGTTGAAGCCAAATTGGCAAATGTAAAATAATAAACCACAATATTCTAGGATAGTATACAAAATATTTGTTGTAATGTATTTATTGAGATACGGTATCACTAGATTTGAAAGCTGAATTAGTCTATTAAGCAGACTGATATCAATATTATATTTTCTTCATTATTATAGTTACATTTTGCTTGAAATATAGCTTTAATTCTTAGAAAGTATTTTTACTTCAGAAACAGGTGATAATAATTCTATCAGTATATCTTTTGCAAAAGTAACATGTCCATTTTCACCCAAATTTGGGATTATGGGGTTCAACAAAATACATGCTTTCCCCATTTTGCTCTGTGATATGACGTACTCAAGAAGGCAACACTGACATTTTCTCTCTTTGAAAATATGTGAAATTTCCCATTACTGGAAAGCTCTGTTGCCCTGAATGAAAAATTGCCCAGTGAAGCATAAGGAAGATGCAAATCTTGGAGTTTTAAAAGCATCTTATATTTTCTCAAATTATATTCAGCTGTACTTATCCAGCATTATGGCATGCTGCTGGATTACTGTTATCAATAAATCCATAAATAGGATGCAAAATGCATGTGAGCTGTCTGTGCATGAATAAAGAGCAGCCCAGCAATAAATCATAGCATAATATATAGTTGAAAATGTAGCAAAAGGAATGCCTTGACAAATCAATGCAACGTATTTTGTCACTGAGGGTGAAAGATTCATTACACATCAGTCTTGAGAAAGCTGAATTTCTGAAGCGTGGGTCATCTAGGACGTATGATGTAATGAGAGAATATAGAAACATGCATAGAGAGACAAAAATAATCTTCTGAATAATAAAGCCATAGTAAATTTTCAGGTAAAATACAAGTCCTACACAGTACTTCATTGATCAAGAGTGGTCAGGAGTGTTATGCCAAAGAACAAAATAATGAACCCTGCCTTCCTATGGATTTGGTCCCCACAGGAGATTCAAAGACTCTTTTTCTGAAGCTGGGTATGTGTGCAGGCTTTCATTCCTGTTTTCTGGCGTCTGCTAAGGTCTAAGCTTGTATTGTGGAATTCGTTCAGCTGAGAAATTCTTTCCTCTACCCAGTCACCTATTTTGATGAAACTCGGGGGAATTCAGTGTTTTGGAGAACTCCAAGCATCTGCCAGACGTAACTGGAACCAGCATTAGATTTTGGAACTGGAGGTAGGACACAGACACAGGGACACACAGCCAACAGGTTGCATAAGCCTAGAGTACAGCGGAGAGACTAAAATAAGATCAACCAATTGGCTTTCCTACTGACTTCAGCAAACTGGCATGGGATATTTAATGCTCTCGCATAACGATCACATAAATGACAGATGAGTTTTCACATGCCGTGCCTGTCCCATCACTGCAGCAGGGGCCACTGCTCCCAGCAGCTGCATCACCTTGTGCTGCAAGGCAGATGGAAATGCCGCAAGAGCAGTTAGCACTGGACAGAGGCCATGAACAAGGACGTCTTCTCTGGCATGCTTAGGAAGGGACACCTACGACTGGTGGGTTTGGAAGAAGCTTAAAATGGGGTGGAGGAGAGGCCATGGGTGTTGGTGCCCTTAGGCTCCTGCAGCCTCCAGAGGCGGTAGCGAGTGCCTCGTGCCCAGCCCGTCAGACCTTGCAATCGAAGCCAAGGCTATAAGGCACGGATTGTCCCTTCTGTACAGAAGAAGGACAAACCTAACATTTTCTTGAATATACATATATAAAAAAGAGAGGAGATCTCTGCGGATTTAGCTCCTTTGGTACGGGTTTCAAGCGAGCTTTAGCCACCACCAACCACCTCCTCAAAGCCGGGACCTCCTAAGAGGGCCAAAGCTCAGCAGGGGGCGCTGTTTCTTGAAATGGCTGCCGCGAGGCGGAAGAGGGAAGTCGCCTCTTCCTCAAGATGGCGGCGCCCAAGCGCGGCGTGGCTGGGGGTAAGATGAAGCGGTTAGTGGCTGCCCGCTCTCGCCGTGGTGGGAAGCTGGACAGGCTGCGGCAGGCGGTGCAAGACTTTGTGCAGAAAGCCGGCGACCAACCGCCTTTGCCCGTGGTGAAGGACTCTGAGAGGCAGAACCGTAGGAGCCGCCGGGAAGCAAGGAAGGAGAAGCGCAAGCTCAAGCGGAGCCGCCGCCGCCGCCTCCAACGCGGAGAACCGGTGGAGATTCCCGTCGCCCCGGCCAAGCCGGCTCTTTCCAAGGCGGCTCCTTTAAAGCCAGCTCCTTCCAAGCCGGTTCCTGCTGCCCGTCCCAGAGCACCGGCCTCACCCGCCGCCGCTGTCGGAAAGCAGCGGCCGGGGCCGCCGCGGCAGCAAGAGGCGGCGCAGGCGGCGGTGCCAGCACCGACACCCCGCAAGGTCCCGGCCGCCGCAACCACCTCGGCGCGGAAGCGGGCCCTGTTGGAGGCCAACGAGGAAGAAGACAAGGAGATCCGGCGCCTGGAGCGGCTGCTAGGGCTTGGCAAGCGCCGCAAGAAGCAGGAGGGGGCAGCGGCGGAGAAGGTGCCTCAGAGCTTGATGCGGGACGGGCTGGGCTACGTGCTGGGCGCCCTGGGCTCCCGGGCCGGCCTCAGCAAGCTGTGCGAGAGCAGCGACGACGAGGAGGAACCGCCGGGGCCGCAGGAGAGACAGCCGGGGCCGGGCGGGGAGGACGAAGAGCAACCGGAGGAGGATGAGGGGGATCCGGAGAATGCCTCCGACCTCTCCGAGTGGGAGGATGTGGAAGGACAGGGCGAGCTAGAAAGCTCTTCGTCATCCACCGAGGACGACGGGGTGCCAGAGGCCAGCGAGCCCCCAGGCGAGGAGGAGGTAAGGTTTTCACTTTAGATAAGGCAAACTGCTTCTCAAGGTACATGTCACAACATCAGCACAGAGCGGTTTGCATCACCGCGGTAAAGCACGGATGTTTGTCGTCTAGTCAGGTCATGAACAGTGTTATCGTGGTGCAACCGGTGCCGGGCCCAGCAACAGCGTTGTCTTAAGAGGCTTGTCAAGGCCTAGGTACAGTGGTGAGGTGCTGAGGTCAGGGTGCTGGCAGCTAACACTCTAACGCACAAGGTGTGTGGGCTTGCCTGTATATACAAGGCAAGCAAATAAAAGGACTTACCCCAGCTTTAAAGAACATGACTATAACAGAATCAAATAGGTTGTCAAAGATCTTTAAGATCCATGTGCTTCTGTTAAGAGTAAACAGAGCTTATGTTCAAATTAGTGTCTTGCAAACTAGAGCGTTACTTCTGGATGATGCCAGAGGTTCTGCCTGTGGTCTGAGGTCTTGTAGCATAGCTGAAGAAGAGGTGAAATGGGTCATTTAGCCACTGTGCCACTAACTTAAACTGTTGGTACATCTGCAGCTGGTTAGATCTGATTAAAACCGAGATGAAAGATGACATAACTTAAAAAAGATCATGTAAGGGGAAGAGGAGTTTTGCTGCTTTGGTCATAAAGGTTAACCTGTTGTATGCTTCTTTCAGTATGAATTGTTACTTTGGCATTAGTTATTAGATGGTAAAATATATACTTACCTAAAGTTGTGCATATTAATCTTAAACAGAAATGTATATTTGTGTTAAAATATTTAAGATTTCATTTGGTATCTTACTGTTTTCCTATTAAGAGTCATAATCACAGTGCTATGAAGTATGTTCCCCCTCAAGTAAGGAGAGCTCAGGAGACACTAGATGACAAGAAAAGAGAAGAATTGGGAAGACTGAAGAAAATAGTGAATGGTCTTATTAATAGGTAATGTAACAAGCAAAGTCATTAGTCTTTCTGGTTCAGTGTGACAGTGCTCATCATTCAAAGAAAAGTGGCAAGAATGTGACTTTTCACAAACTGATTTTAAGTTGGCAGTCATGTCTGTTATCCTTAATAATAATTATCTTTGTTGGTATAAATTTTTCAGAGTTGGTCATTACAGAAGTTGAAAAATCTAGAAAATAAATTTAAGATTGGGCTGAATTCCACACAGCAGTTGCCTGCAAGTGTTAGGTATGATTCAGTACATGTCAATTAGAGTATGCCTATAAAAAAAAAACCTCATAGTGTATTATAACTTCCTCCAAAAAAGCATTATTTTAATTTTGTAATTAAATAAAACTAAATTTCTCCGACACTGCAACTGAGGAGGAGCAAGACTTCATAGCTTGAAGTACTGAAGAACAGAAGAAGTCATTCACACTTTTATGCATTTTAAATTTAGAGTATTGTAAAATAAGAAACCTCCTGGCATTTTCTTTTATCTGTTACCTGCAAAATGCAGACTACAGTATGCAGTTTGTTCAGTGGTTTAGAATTCAATATACCTTATGAGGTATTTTTGTACTTATTTTCTCCAAAGACTGATGTGCTATACTTAACAACAGCTCAGAACAAAGTCTCTCTTCTTAATAAGTGTGTTCAGTGTGACAGGAAGCACATTAACCATGCTTTGTAAATACTGCTGCTAATCTGTTTTTACTTGTGAATATTAAAAGCCAAACAAACCAACCATACAGAATTAAGCATACGTTAGTTTGATAAACACTGCAAAATACAAAAGGTCCTTTCCGGTCACCTTTTAATCTTTCTTCTTAAGCCAAATCAGTTTCTCTAAAACGAAGAGGTAGTTTCTTGAATAAATTGAAAATTGTAGAACCATGTAAAGAGAAGAAAAAGTTAACACTGGATTTTGTTTCTCAACAGGTTGAGTGAACCGAATTTGGCCTCCATTAGCGGACAAATGGAAGAGCTCTACATGGCCAACAGCAGAAAGGACATGAATGAGACTCTGACAGATATTCTCCTGAATGCTTGTGTTACTGCAGTTGCCATGCCTGCAAGATTGATAATGGAGCATGTCCTTTTAGTCAGCGTTCTTCATCATAATGTAGGAATTGAGGTAATTCTTGCAGTTGGAAGTAATTTTGTTTAATAATACATTTTTGTAGAGTGTCTCCCTTGATATTTTGTTTGAATTTCCTTTTCATTTTTGATTGTTACTAAAAAAACAATAGTTGAATTTCATCAATATTTGTAGCTTATTTGCTAGGTGTCTACAGGTGAAAGGGATCAAGTCTGTTCCTTTATCTGATTAATTTCCTCTATGAGTTACCACTGGTCAGTTACAAAAATGTCTTTTTTCTTTTTTTTTCCATCCAAATCTTTTTGCATCCATAAAACCGGGAGGTATTAAGCTTCAAATTTTCTCCTCTTTATTTAGACTATTTCTGTTCGCTTGGGTATATGAGGTTATTGTTCTTGAATGATATATATCCGTATAAGAAAAATGCTACAGTTACAGAAATCCTTTTACATCGGTGGAAAAAGTCCTGCTTTTTAAAGCCAAATCATGCAGGTATCAGTGAAATTACCTGGATATATCAATTACTCCATAATATAAAAAAACTTCAAAAAGCTTTTTTTTTTTTCGGGTGGTGGTTTTAAGCTTGATGAATGATTGAGGTGGTGCATCTGTTGCTTACTGTTAAGAAGCTGCTGAAACTACTGATGGAAGATTTTACCTCATTTGAGTGAGATCTCTTTCAGCATCATGTTCCCATCAAGCTTTTCTACACCTACATTTTATTTCTACATCTCAGTGCAAAAGATCTATTTATGCAAGTTCTTCACCTTATCGTATAGTGACCGGAATGCTGTCTCTAAAGCCATATAAAGTATCAGGTGGATGCAATTACAGCAGCTTTCTCCATACAGCCTTGCCATAAAACTTTTTTTTTCTATCCTCTTTGCTGCTTGAAAGGTGGATACAACACATCAATATAGTGCTGTTTGAAGGAGAGAAACAGAATCTTTTTGGAACTTTGCAGAATACCCAATAATAGGTTTTAGATACAGATACACTAGTAGGCATTAGAAATACATAGATGATACCCAGACTGTCTTTGTACTACCAACTCTGTTACGTAGCATCTTTGAATCTAAAATGTGCTTACTGTAACGCACCTTTATTTTTCCCCTGTAAAATACAGAATATGTATTACACAAAAGTGTCATAGCACAGCTGCATTTAAGATTAGTTTGAGCAATGCAGAAGCTGGGGTTCCAGTAACTGTGTTTATACATTTGTGCGATATGATAACTGGATTAGTGAAAACCTAAGCGGTCAAGGCTTGTAATGCAGGTCAGTACTGCTACCTGGACTTGTGCTTTTCATAAGAACAATCAGCAAAAAATTATCCTATCATCCTCATAATGTGCGAAGTCTTGTCTAGCAGCAGCATGTTCATCATCTACCCGTGTTTGGTATGGTTTCTAATTCCAGTCTTCAGCATCCATTCACTCTTCACAAATATAGATTCCAAATTTTCTTTTCCCAGTTGTACTACTGACAAATGGCTAAGACATATCCCCACTTCAAAATCAGCTTAAGCTTATGCTCATCAACTGTGAAAACTTGGTATGTTGGGGGTTGGTTTACAGTATTATTTTTTACCCTTCTATTAAGGATTTTGTTCTGGAATGCTGAACTCTGTGATGTGTCTGGGTTTTGACATGCAGCTTTTATTGGATGAATGGCTAGCAATAACAGCATGCTGGCCTGACAGCTGGGAAGATGCTAATATGTGTTCATGAAAATTATGTAAACAAATTCTGATGTATGTGTGCTGTAAGTTCGTAACATTCACTTTTCTTGTACAGATGTTGAAAGGCACCTGGTTTCATACGTAAGGTCTAAATAACATATACTTTAAGAATTTGTCACACTACTTAGATATTTGTATATGTAAATGTAGAACATCCATACTGGCTGAGAGGAGCAACAATATATCTTTAAAATTAATAGTGGCAGTGTGTCAGAAGTTAATGTTTTACAGATGTCTATAAAATCTACTTATGGTTAATGGCTGGGTTTTTTTAAACTTCGTTTTTTTTCCTCCTTAATGCAACTGCTGCCAGGTTGGTGCTCACTTTTTGGAAGCTGTGGTGAAGAAATTTGATGAACTCTCTAAAAGTGATGCTGAGGGGAAAGAATGTGAAAACCTGCTTGCCTTGATTGCTCATCTGTATAATTTCCATGTGGTTCATTGCCTGCTGATCTTTGATATTCTGAAAAAGCTTATTAGCGCTTTCACTGAAAAAGAGATTGAGTTGATTTTGTTTCTTCTGAAAAACGTGGGCTTTTCGTTAAGAAAAGATGATGCATTGGCTTTGAAGGAACTGATCACTGAAGCCCAGAGGAAAGCAAACACAGCAGAGAAGAAACTCCAGGATCAGACTAGGGTATGTGTGCATGTTTTAAAGATTTTCTGCTCTGAATAGACTTTTATAAGCACTTAGATACATGTATTAATTTACCAAAATGTTTTCTGCTACTCTCTATAAGGTTCTAAGGTACCATTAATATTCAGTTGTTGGCGTTCAGTTATTTGCATTCTTGTCTGTCTCTCTCTGTTAGTTCTTTGGACACAGCCACCAAAATGCTTGTAAAAGGCAAGACTCAGACGGGTTTGTGCCTATGCACAGAATGCATAGGCTGTGCTCCTGATGATACTTGATAATAATTTTTACACTTAAAAAAAATGGCCATGATGTTCAGCAGATTAAGCTTTGAATTGAAGCTTGAATGCCAATGTATGTAATAGCAGTTAAAGTAACATCTTTCTCTCCATTTTTATTTATGTAATCTAATTTTTGATGCATATTGCTATCCAAGCTGCTTATTGTTACAGAATAGTAATTTCAAAGTACAGTTTCCACTTTTATTTAGTAAACTTTTCTGCACATAATCCGCAGAAATATTTCTTTTCCTAATAGGTTCGGTTTATGCTAGAGACTATGTTGGCCCTAAGGAATAATGACATGCGTAAGATTCCTGGTTATGATCCTGAACCGGTTGAAAAACTCCGCAAATTGCAGAGAACACTGGTGAGTGCTTTCTCGGCATACGTTGTATAGCTGTTCTTAAACCAGGAGTAATTATTTGTATTGTACATTGGCTTGACAGGCTATAGTTATTTTTTAATTCATTCAACATTCAAACTCTTGTGAACAAAAGTCACTTCTTAGGTCATTAAGTATTACTTCCTGTGTCCAAGTTAATTCAGCAGTCAACCAGCCTTCTGCAAAACCGTTTGGGAAAGAACATAATACTTAGCCAAAGACTTTTCCTCAAAGTCCTATACTTGAAAAAGAGATTGTGGAAATTTAATGATTGTAGAGAAGAAATGAGTCATTATGACAAGTTCTTTTTTTCCATAGATTTTGGATGCAGGCACCCTCTTCTAACCTCACCAGATTTATTTTTGAAGTCTAACACTTCTGAAAAGCTGGAGAGAGGGCAGTTTGGCTAGGACAATCTAGTATAAAATGCATGAAAGTAACTGTCTCTTTGGATTAAGAACTATCTTCAGAAGTGTGTAAGTGCAGGATGTGTGCATCAGTAATAACAGGCCAGGCAAAACCAAGCCCAGGTAACCTAGTTCTGTAGAATTTTCTCTCAAATTTTCACACTCCTCCTGGTACACTTCTAGGATTTTGTTGAAAATTCGTATTTTGTTTAAAGAGTTTGAACTCTTTGCTGTTCGAATTGTACAAAACTGAAGGCATTTTGTCATGCCATTTTATTTGATCAGAAGTGTTGAAAAGGAAAATTATGACCAGAACAACCTGTAGCTGATTTTCAATGTCAGCTTCAGTCTCTTGACTCTTCAATGTCACCAAGTCTTGAATTTTAATCGAGTTTTATGGTTGGAAGATGGCTCCTTTTTAATCGATTATCTCTCTCTTTCTCTCTCATTTTTTGTTTGTTTTTTTTTTTTTCCTCCTTAATAAAAAACAGAGCTTCTAAATGTAGATTTAAGCAACTTCTTTCCCTTGAGAATTAGAGAATATGGGAAACTTATAAATTCTTTTCAGGCTGCTGACTGAAACTAAAGGCTGGAGAAGGAACATGTGAAGACCTTTGTGATTAAGATACTAAGTTAATTGTTTAAAGTATTTGTTTTAAAGTAATTTAAAGCAAATAAAGTATTTGGGGTTTTTGTGTTGGGGGGTGTTTTTAGAGAAAGCTTCAAATAATAGCTTTTGGGGGTTTTGTATTTTGTTAAGGTTCACAAAAGTGGCTCTGGAAAAGAAACTGAGCTCCGTGTCTCCCTGGAATCTCTCCTCAGTGCTGATCGGGTTGGTCGCTGGTGGATAGTTGGGTCATCCTGGAGTGGAGCACCAATGATTAATGATACAAATAGCAAGACTCAGCAGAAACTGCATATAGGAAAGGTAAATCCAAGCAGCAGTTGTTGTAAGTGAAAGTATTTGTGGTCTTTTACATGTTCTTCATACAGGTGCATAAGTTTGTTTCAGAGCCCACAAAAAAAAATAATACTGTGGTATAGCTTCTTTTTTTTTTTCTTATCCCATGGAATTGCAAAAATCACTTGTGGGAGTGGAAAAGAGATGTGATTTAAAAGTGGATTTCCAAGTATAAATTCTGACAGGTAGCGTTGCCTGTCTGTGGGTGGCATATATCTAAGCTGATGGTAAAAGTAGTGTAATGAGAATGTCATGGTGAGTTACATTAGAGAAGCACATCTTAAGTAACTGACACAATTAAAACACATTAAAATATATTTGCCTAGTTGAAAAAGCTGTTGCTGATTCTTATGCCTCTAGACAAAAGCTCGGGACATTTGGGCTGCTGCTTCATAGCTTACTGGAGATCTTCATTAATGGTCTTACGTAAGGCTGGGCAGAAATAGGTTTCTTAAAGCAAGCATAAATAAAATAGCATTTAATTTTAATTTTTTGCAGGTGAGTTCAAAGATAATGGAGCTTGCTCGTAAGCAGAGAATGAACACCGATATCAGGAGAAGTATTTTTTGTGTCTTGATGACAAGTGAAGACTACCTGGATGCATTTGAAAAGCTTCTCAAGTAAGTACAGACTAGCACAGAAGACAGCCCATAGCTAAAAATAGCATTAGCTGGGTTGGAAAAATACCATTGTTGGTCTGGGCTTAAGCACATTTAATTGGTAATAAAATTAGAGAAGTGCATAGCTAGCTATCCATGCAGAGTAAAAGGGTAGGAGAAGGACCAAAACCATGGTGTAAGGACTAGGGAAGGGACTAGAAGGGAAGTTAGAACTGACTGGCAGTTGAAAGAAATGGACTAGCCCCGATTATTGTCACTCATGTCTATAACTCTGATTTCCAGCATCTTTTGAATTCAGGAGTCTGCATCTTTTTGCATTGAAGATGTGTTTCCTGGTCTAGTGGATGGAAGCCTGTTGCAGCCTTGCTTCCTTACAGATGCAGACCAGAAGCCCCTTCAAAATATCTCTTGGTTTTCTTGCTGGATTTCCATACTGCTGCCACTTCCTTTTACTTCTTACAACCTTTTTAATTGCTTAAAAAGATCTCTTGCAGGTCTCTGTCCATAATTGCATGACCTGATAGTGTTCTAGCACCTCCACTTCCCTCTTGGCTTTGAATTGGCTTCAGGGTCACATTCCATGTTAAGACCAGTTTCCTTACCACTTAGCAAACAGCTCTTTCTGAGAATATTTGATCAAGGAAAAGCGTAAACTAAGTTGTTCTCTCTGTTTGTCAGAATAGTGCTGTAAGTCTGTAGTAACTGGGAGGGGAGAGAGATAGGTCTGAACTTCTCTTTTGCAGCCTTGTAATTCAAGGGAATTGTCTTACCAGGATGGCATGCAATTATTTTAATTTGATAACCAAACCAAAGCAGACTTTGTAATAAAGTCAACTAATATTTGATTAAATGCCACTTCTGCAAAACACAGCTTGGATTTAAGACTGTGATGGAGTCATTCCAATATCTTAATATGGCCTGTTCAATTAAAAGAAATTAGCTGCTGCTGCTGCTGCACTTCTTGCCAAGGCCTGGTAGCTCAATTTGCAAATTGATCCTTGACTCTCATCTGTGCTATTTAAACTAGCATACAAATCTGTATACATACAGGCTTGGCAGAAAGACTGCAGATGGCCTGATGTGTGTGTTGATACTGATTTTTATACAGCAAGCTCAGAGAGAGGAATTCAGAAATCTGCCCACATCTGGCAGAGTATAATGGAAAGCACACAGAATTGTTAGTGAAGGAATTAACTTCAGTGTGAACATGTGTTCCAGAGTGTATGGGAATTTATATTCATGAGTTGGATGTCAGTCTCATGAGGAAGAGGACAAAAAAATGTATCAGGAAGTATTTTGACTGCCCTTGTTGATTCATCTGCTGCTATATCTCTGGCAGAGTTTAGGTGTGATTAAATGGTAATTTAAATTGTTGTAAGTCCAGGCTACTATAGTTCTGCTTGTCTTTTTCCTCCTTACAGTAAAAGCAATTAATTTGAAACCAGAACAGCTCCCTGAAGTGATTGCAGAAGTGTCAATGTAAAGGGGGGGGTTGGGAACGTCACTGGAGACTTAAGAGGAGGGAGCAAGACTTGATCCATTTCATTAAATGAAAGGCTACACCTCCTTCATAAACCGCAGACTCACACAGCAGGTGGAATGAATGCTTCTAAAGTTTGATGCAGAGGCAATTTTAAAAGCTATTTCATGGACATGAAGAATTTGAGAAATTTTATATCTCACAAAAAGTTGAAAAGATTTATATACCCTGTTGTAGTGTGGTGTGTAATTCAGGATAACAGTTATGTGATCGCATCTACTAAAATACTTTTAAATGACTTTTAGAAGGTTTGAGTGTTGCTATATTTGATCTAAAGGCAGTGATAGTCGGGCTTCAGCTGATGCTAGCTAACCTATTTAGAGGCAGGCTTCTGCTGGTGATGAATAACCTACTTCAGAGGCAGTTATCCCATATAGAGCAGGAAACTCTTAAAAATGATCAAGATTTACAAGTCCATGGGAATACTTTTAAGTCATGAATGATAGGTGAGGTGTTTGCATGTTCTTTATCAAAGATTATCAGGCTCATGAAATCTCTACAGGTTTACAGTGAAGCTCAGCAGTGAAAGACAATCCTGACTCCTGAATTTTAGATGTTTAGGAATGTTACATCTGAAAAGATAAAATAATGCTAGGTCTGCAAAGCAGTGAAAGAAAGAATAAAGTTCAACATCAAAGTGCTGATTTGCTTGGTTATAGCTGTCTGGCAACATTAATATTTCCTAAATAAGCACGTCTGATAGAAATTACGATGGAGAGTGTGCCAAATTAGTGACTGCAGTGTAACTTCATGAGTTACAGTGCATGTCTGGTAGCTGGAAACTTGTTTTAAAAAAGGAGCTTTTGTTGCTCTGTAATAAAATCAGGTAGAACTTGGCTGATGGGAGAGCAAGTAAATTCTATCACAGACACGACACTTACAGTTCTGTTCTCTTCTGGAGGAGTAGAATTCTAAGTTTTCACTGCTCATTAGCAGTCACCCTAGAAATCCATCTGAGATTTTCCTGTTGTAAAACCTTGAATGCTGGGGGATGGGAGTGTGGCTGAAAGAGAGTATTTTCTCTACTAATCTGGTGTATGGCTGTGATCCAGTGCAGTGGCAGGTGTCTGGAGGTGTATACAAACGAGGGATACTGGAATCAGGCAACGGCAAACTCCAGGTGGTAGAGCAAGTTCCAGTGGAGTAAAACTTAGTTAGAAAATACTCTTGAGTTACACCAATGCCATACAAAACTTGAGCTTTAAGCAATGAAAATAATTTTGTTTGACATTTTTCAGACTATAATATGAAGCATTTTTCATTTTAATTGGTTTTAATGCTGCCAAGCATTTGGCAGCCTGGGAAGCTAAATCATATTATTCGCAGAACAGGTGCCTTGCGAGTTAGTTGCCAATCCCTGCCCCAGAGTGCCTCAGCTCTCTTTTTAGACTGGTCAGCTGTTACGTGGGAAGGCTGTTCAGTCCTTGGCCTTTATGCTGAGGCAGCCAACACTGATACTGACTGTTGACTGTGTTCTTCAGGCTTTTTGGGGGGTGTGTGTGTGTTAAGGTGATTTGAAATGGCTGACTGCATCCTCTTAATATCAAACAATAATGAATTTCAAGTATTATGTAGCATGGAGTTGACCTGGAGATTAAAAGATTCATATCGCTAAATAAGTGGGAAAAACATCCTGATATATTATCCCTAGTAAAAGCAGATACTTCACAGAAGTGAAGGGTGCCCTGGACATGTTTCTCTGAAAAGGCTTATACTGATCCAAAATCTGCTTTTCCTCACATGACCATAGGTACAAGTGTGATGTAACTGCAATAGAGTGCTACAGTTCTTGTTCCGCTATTTAACGTTTGTATTGGTACACCATGCAACAACACTTGCTGCACTACAGCTGCACAAGACTTCATGATGGCAGTGTCCTCTCTGTTGTTCTTCATGAAGAGCTACAGATATGGAGTAATCTACCTTTCCTTCCTCAGACGCTAATTACACTTGTATCATTCCACTTCTGTCTGTTGAAGTCATGCTTTTGCAGCCAACCCTTTTAACATCAATAAGACTATATCATTTTCATATTGCCATACCAGGATATTGATGTAGCCCACAGTTTTAAGAGGTTGTCCATATAGTGTGGGTTTTTTTAAGACTGTTTTTGTAAGAACTTCCTCACAAGTGAAATTGAATGTAGTGTTCAGGGTTTTTTATTTTTTCAGGTGTTACTCTTGAATGTTGACTGTAGCTGTTGCTTTGTGTAATTTTTTTCCTTACTAAATGATTCTCATTCTGTTGCTGAATTTTAGGCTTGGACTGAAAGATCAGCAGGAGAGAGAAATCGTTCATGTTGCACTTCACTGCTGCTTACAAGAGAAGACATATAACCCCTTTTATGCATTTTTGGCTAACAAGTTTTGTGAATATCAAAGACGGTTTCAGGTGAAGAAAAATCTGTTCCTACTTTGGTTTAGTGTCGCTGTTGTGGTTAGGAAGACAGTTATTAAATACCTGAGATTGCATGCATGCCTTTTAAGATCTTCATTCTGAGAAATAATTTTGCTGGTCTAGCTGTGCATTTGGTAAGGCATGCTCACAGTGAGGTCTGAATAGGAAATAAAGTAACTAGAGCAGAAGGTTCGTTTTCCTTCGTTTTACATATTTCAGAGGAATTGAACAGTCTGGTCAAGCATCTCTGTTAATTCACAGAGGGATCATAAAGAATAAAAGATCAGAAAGTTTTGTTATGTTGTTACTTATTTAAGCAGTCACTTGATTGTAGGATTAATTTTTTTTACCTTTGACACCTAGGTGACATTTCAATTTAGTATTTGGGACAAAATCAAAGACTTAGAAAACCTGTCAGCTGCTGCCATCTCCAACTTGGTTTCGCTGTTGGTTCATTTATTAAGGACAAAATCATTGTCACTTTCAGTTCTCAAGGTTGGTGTATTTTCTTTTTGAAATACTTCTGTGTTTTCCTTGCATTTTCTAAGTCTATGGAAAATGTATTTTCTTTGTTACCTAGCTGATACTTTGGCTTTTCAAGGTCATAAGCCAAGACAAAACTTGTTCTAAAATTACTAAATTAACCCAACTGGTTACAGTAATACTATAATTTGGGGAAAATGGAATCTGTGGTGACCCAGACATACAGAAAGTGTACAGTTCTGTATCTAGAGCAGTTGTAAGATTATATTCTTCAGAGTATCCCGAGCTGGTACTAACACCCCTTCATTAATAGGCTTTGTCAGTGGATTTTCTGCTATGCTTTTTAGCTGATGTTGATTTTTACTAGACCAGAAAGAAATCTACTGAGCACTGGGATTCATCTAGTTGAAAAATTATACCTGGTATTCTGGTACTGGTAGACAGGTTAATTCCTTAAAAAGTTCTCTGCTTTCCTTATTGATTGGTTTTTGGAGGCAGTGTTCTCAGCTAATTCTTCTGTGCTGAACTTAAGACTGTATATATGGGAGGCCAGGTGGTGTGCTAAAAGCTGTTCATTTAGAAGAGAATTTGTCTGTTTGAAATACTTGAATTAATCCAATTCTCCCTCTCTTCTAGGTAATTGAATTCAGCGAACTAGATAAACCCAAAGTCCGTTTCTTGCGACAAGTATTAAGCATGCTGTTAATCAAAACAGATGCTGAAGACCTTTGTGACATTTTTGTGAGGTAGGTGAGCAGAGGGATCTGTAGGGAGCCCTTGGTGAGTAGTAATGAAGAAGGTAACAAGTTTGCTTGTTTTGTTGAGAGTTATACGGTGCCTTTTCCGAAGATCAGACACCCATCTCTTAACAAGTAAACTCTTCTGGGTGAGTGGGGTGAAGCTTATCATGTGTGTGTTAGTACAGGCTAACCCGTCAAATTGGGTGATGATGTTTCAACCCTTATGCTGCAACATGAGGAAGATCAGACATGGTATTCACCTCAGGTTTTGCTGTAATGTAATTGTTTACATAAAGCAAGTCTGAGGCTTCAATAATCCATTTTATAGTTGAGGTTCAATTGTACACTGAGTGTGTTTGGGCTGTTTGCCAAACCAGCGTAGGCTTGCTGGTAATTTGAAAGCCTCATCAGAAAAGCTCCTTTTATAGGTTGGAATTTTTTTTTCCCCTTGTGTTCTCTGAAGAAGATAAAGAAAATTGAGAAACTTCTAAAACAGTAGAAGACTAAATTCACTTTTTGATCTCTATCTTTACAGGGTATCTGACAACCCCAAACTGGGAATGCTACGGGAAGGCTTGAAACTCTTCCTTACCCACTTCTTACTGAAAAATGTACAGGCCAAAAAAAGTGCTGAAGAAGCTAGCTTATTAAGAGAAAGAGTTGAACTAGCAACCAAGGCTTTGCAAGCAAAAGAATCCAAATTGAGGTTGTAGTTCTGTTTTTCTAATAAAACTCATGGAGAAACTTGAGTCTGCACAAAGATGCAAAGCTTTCATGGTCTTTCAGGCCCAAATAATTGAGAACAAAGAAAGCTGTCTTACTCTAAAGAATCTGTTTTTTTATGCAGTTACTTTGCTCTACACAGTTGTTAGAGGTTGAATTGAAGGTGATACAAGGCCTTTTGAAGAAATGGAAAGTTCATTTTTTTTATCATGTCCCTTTTTAGTATGAGTGCTTCATCTTGATGGTTACTATCAGGGGAAGAGGGTGAATTTACTGCCAGCTGGGGGTATCATACAAGAGTGTTCTGCATTGCATGTTTTAGCCTTTTATTTAAAATAATAGCATAACACTGACCACCATCTGTTAAAGAATGAGCCTTAAGTAAAGGCTTTTAATAACCAATCATTGTACTTGCCTGAAGAAACAGGCCACTAGATGGCACAAGTACTGGTGAGTCACTTCTGGCAGAAACCAACTTTTTTTCTTAAAGTGTTAGTTATCACTAATTCTGTGAATTGTTTACCTGACTGTGGGTCAGGAAAAGATCTTCAGTTGGAGTCAAAGTTGTAGTAAAATGACTTGAGGATCTGACGTTGCCCAATTTTATTGGGTTTAGAGATCACAGTATGGTTTTATTGCTCTTTTAAACTGTTTTTTGCAGCTTTAAAATTAGAGTTGCCTAATCACTTGTGATAATCAGATTTTTATAGGCATAAAGAATTATATCAGTATGAGTCTTTTATTAAGAGAATACATTCCTAAAGAATTTGCTTGTATTTTCCATTCGGATGTTAAAAAATCATGCATTTCTTCGTAACAGTGTTAATAGTTTGTTTCTTTTGTTACCTTACCATTACACATTAAACTGCAATTTTTCTAAGGGCCTTGCTGTTTACATTAGCTTTACTCTAGCTAGCTTGCCAGGAAAGGAATGACCCTAAACTGGGGGGAGGGAGGGAAGCACATTGTTATGTGCTGCAGCTGCACCATCTACCTGTGCTAGAGCTGCCAGCCGTGTTTCTGTGTGCAGGTTTGCCCTCTGGTGTCCAATAGTCTCTTCACTTCTGATGCCTCCTAACTGCATTTGATACCAACTGATTCATTCGGCTGCTTCGGATCTCTCCCTCTTGGGAGAATTTGCTCCCCATAGGCATCCTCCAGAAAATGTTCACTTCTGCAGCAAGGGAGGTGGACAAGAAGTTTTTTTATTACTATGCTTTAATCAAAGAGTTGAATTTAGAATACTCTGCTTGCTCAGTTGTATGAGTAACATTTTCAGGCAAAGGAGCGCTTCCCCCAGCTGCCAGCAGCCAGTGGTTTTCTCACCTTGTATCTGTTGGAGAGGGCAAGTTGTAGGGAGCAAGATATCTTGGGAGCAGAGACACCCAGTTTCAAAATCACAGGTTAAACCAGCACAGTAACAGCTAACACAGAAGGGATTACTATTAAAAGAACAAAGCAAGATGCTTTCTTCAGCCCATCTCATGCCATTAGCAGCTTTTAAGCATACAAAACATCTTACGTGCAACAGGCAGAAGAGGAAAAAAAACTTTTATATATTTCTAAAACTCATACCAATTAACAAAAATACAGGCAGCAGAATTATTGCACTGTTTTGGTGGTTACAAAAGTCACAACTTTGGATAGCGTATGTAAAGAGCTCCCTTGCAAACAACCATGCCAAACCTTGTGGTTTAGTTCTGGAGGCTGGACACGGGCAAAAATATCCGTGCAAATCCCTAGAAACCAACTGCTGCAGAATGCCTGGGACCTCGGTGAGTAAAAATCGCACCCCTCTCCCCCGGATGCAGCAGCCACCTCATTCATTACCTTTTTTGCAGGGCTTTGGGTGGACCCAGTGTTTCAACGTGTCTGTGGTTTAATAATACATAAATGGAAGCACATTGTTCTAACCACAAGGTTGAGGCAACTTTGCTCCACCAGATAGATGTTAAAACATCTTCCTTAGATGAAATGTGCCAGGCTGATGGTTCTTGTTTGCACACTTTGCTTGGTGGTCAGAGCTGCCCACCTTTGCTGCTTGCGGCAGGGTTGCCTTGTGTTTTATGGGTTGGAGTCTGTTCACTTGCTGCAGCAGCCCGAGGCAGTGTGTTGCAGGTGTTGCTATGCGAGGATATACAAGACATGGTTTTAACCTTACAGTCTGAAATTACATGTGCTATTTGTTTCACATTGAGATTTGCATTAGTTATTATTTATCCTAACCAGCTAGTATGTTTTGTTCAGACTTAACTGTTATTACAGCCATTGCTTTGTTCCTGAAGCAAACAGATTTTACCTGCCTGCAGCTTTTACACTTGTCACATTTATGTATAAATATATTTTTTTAAAAAGACTGAATTTTCAAGCCAGAATCCATTGCCAGTCTACAGTGAAGGTATGAGGACAGTTGCTGTTGGTGGTTCTGTTATGTTTAACAATTTTTATCTTGGTTCTGCTGACCATATTGCTACAGCTTGATAAAGGTGGAAGGCCTGTCAGAATGTGCTGGTGCTCAGATGCACAGCTGCAAGCTGTCACTTCTGTGGTCCAGTTGCATCCCAAAGATAAAAGGCACATTGTGCAAAGGAAAGCTGAGATTATTGTATATTTAATTCTAATATATATTTTAATGATATACATGCATAAGTGTGTGCATATATAACGTATGATTTTAAGTATTGTATTTTTTTAACCCCAGAGAAAAAATCTGTCACCAACAGAGTTAGTCTCTTTACAGCAGGGCTGTTGGTGCTGTAAGGTCTTTCTATAACAGCAAGTCCCAGTGCTGGCAGGAGGCTTCCTGCAATGCTGCCCACAAAGCACTGACTGCCAACAGAGGTTGCTGGAGAAGTTACACCATTCTTGGACACATTTCGCTTTGTTTGCTGTGGAATATATGTTTGATAACACACGTAATACAAAGATGGTGAGATTTCTCCGTATCAAGTGTTAGCCAGCATCAGGCCTCCATGAGAAACTTTGCCTGATCATTCCAATAAGGGAGATGCCGCTTAAAATGTCCCAACTTAATTCATAAAGGAGGGTTGGGGAAGTTACTACCTCATGAGCAAAAATGGGCTTTCAGTTGGTAAAAGTACACTGTGCTGGAAATACACCAGGCAGCTACAGCTGCAGCACTAACCCTTACTCCTGACAAGCCAGTGGAAAATACAGTGTGACCTGCTTTAGGTGCATTGAACTAAAAGCTGGATGTTTGGGGTTTTTTTAGCTATACAGTAGATGATCTCAATTCCCCCTTTAAACAGCACTATCCACTCATAGCTATTATCATGGTTTCAATTTTTGTTGTCTTTTAAGATGGACAGTGCTGTTTTAAGCCTTCTCTGTTTTCTGTATCAGAATTAACAGGGCAGCGAAGTCTGGTTTTTAGCTTTGGCTGGAATGTTACACTGATAAATCATACACAAGTCCTTTTGGCAGGGTTTTAGCACTGCACCTGAATAGGCCAAGTATCTGCAGGGCTTTTTTAACTTGACTTTTTTCCATTGTCCCACACACCGGGGATGACGAGTTGGTATCAGTCGTGCTCCAAAAGCGCAGACGCAAGCAGATCTGTCCTGCCTCGCGGTAGCGAAGGTGTGCAACCCAATACTGTGCTTAAACCACATCTGGGATCGTTTGGCTCGCATTGTTCTACGGGTGAACTTTGCACGTGAGAAGTTACAGCCCGGGAGCAGTGTGGTGCCAAATGTGCACGCCAGTGCTTTCAGCTTAATAAATACATGAGTGGCAACTCTAATACTCAACTTTTTGTTGCATTGGGTGTAAGGGGAGCTTAGTGCCTGGCTACGTTCCGTGTGTGCAAGAATCAATCCTCGATTTTGTCCTGCAGTAGATGAAGCTATTTTGTTTTCAGGAGACAATTTGATCTGTAGAGTCACTTTTCCAAAGGCAGGGTGTAAGTTTTACCCAAGACTTTCCAGGTTGGACTGATTTCAGGAATGGTAGGTAGAGATATGACTCTTTTACCATATGCCACTTCTTGTGATTTCATCTCTTGGAGGAACTTTCCTTCACCCTCCAGTAAAGCTGAGTTTACCATGAGGCCCGCAGGCACGGACGTTACAGCTGCTCGTATAAAATAGCTGCGCTGTCCTCAAATTCTGGTGTGACCTGCATCTTTGCTTTAAAGCCAATTACAGTAGCCTTCCGCTAATTTAGATGCATGCACAATTCAGAATCGGATATCATGTGGTTTCCCTAATAACACTTTAAGGAAATGAAATTAGTATCTACTGAGAAAAAGCTTAGGAAGAGCCAGCTGGCACCAGAAATCCCTTAAAACTTGTGTCCTAGGACAAAACAGTTCACACACCAAAACCAGCTCCCACTCTGTGAAGGAGGGCTTCAAAATGAACACATTCAAAAATGTCCAAGTAATGGAACTAGAATGAGAGGTACAGAGTGAAATTAAACAGACCTTTTCTGAATAGTTCCTTCAAAGTCCTTACTGTCAGTAACAGTGAAATGGTGGCTTCATTTGATAAGTGAAAGATTTACAAGCATGACACTTGCTTCATTAAAAACTTCATTGTAGGCTTTTTACTGCTCAGACAGTGAGAGTACCCTCAAGTCTCTCGGGTGCTCAGGTACACACGGCTCCAGCATGAAATAACAGGACTGTTGTCAGCAGGCAGGAATAGCTTTTTGTTACAGTCAGGAGATGGAACAATGCATTTTTCTAGTACAGAGACAGTAAGCTGACTTGGTGTCACCTTGGGGAAAAATAAGTCATCTTGATTGCATTTCCTAGGCTTGAATCTTATTCACAAAATCATCCCTCCTCCTCCTCAGCCAAAGGCTTAGATTCTGAATGGATTTTTTTTACCTTACTCTGTAGTTCAATTCACCCTTAAAATGTTGCCTGGATGGTGTTTACTTTCCAAATTTCCCTAACTAAATGGTTTGAAACGGACTCCATTGGTCTTCTGAAGATATGTGTTATGCCAAAGATTATGCAGCTACTGTGCAGCAGAGATCAGGAAACGGTGCAGAAAGG